AGATTTGAACCGCTGAACTGCTGATCTAGCAGTCAGCCTGCAGTGCTGCATTTAACCACTGCGCCACCTTGGCTCTTTTACATCTCTCAGGTCTTGCCCATCCTATGTTTGGCCTCACATTTTAAGTAAGGCACTATGATTCATTTGTAAATTCTGATCTCCATTCTACTTACAAACTGTCAGGGATCTCCAGAGGAGATGGGCCAAAAAGTCAAAATGGAAACCAAGATGGTGCAATCAATTGCTTTTTAATAGCATCGGAGTGGTTGTTACCTTGACTTTAAAAAAAACAAAAAACTATAGCCTATTGTTTTCCCCTGAACTGCTTGTTTTTGAAGGCAGACTCATCTAATTGGCCAGTTAAAATCATTCACCAAATGTGTTTAAGACCTTATATATGTGTCTAAGATATACAGGAGTTACAAGCAAAATATTTTTTCCTTTTGAAATTCATGTCTGTTATGAACTGAGTACTATATGCTTTATTTGAGTGGTTTTTTTTGTTTTGTTTTGTTTTTGGTGCCTTTGAGTCAATTTGGGTTCTTGGCAATTGCATGGAAAAGTCCCTGCAGCTTTCTTGGCAAGATTTTTGGATTATTCACTTTTTCCTAAGGCTGAGAAAGAAACAATGGCCAAAGTCATTCCAGTTGGCAGAAATAACAATCTCCTAGCCTAGTGTCTTAACCACTTCACCACACTGGCTTTTTGAATCACATGCTTCAATCTGTGCATAAGTCTCCAATTCCAAATAAAGCTTATTTAAATATTGCAACCTACAACACATTTTCTCATATAATCTATTTGTTGGGTTCATTCTTTTATGACATATATCTGCACCACCATCCAAAACGCAATACAAGAAAGTGGTTATTACTTCTACAAGTATTCTTAAATTAATACTTCTTTTAATTACTTGAATTATACATTTAGAGTTTTAGACTCTTCCATGAGCCATGATATTTTCTACGACCTGTAGCTTTTTCTTCAGCCAGGTACCTTCAGATATATTATACTGCAACTTTATTTTACATCACAGACCAAGTCATGTTGATTTCACACAATAGGAACTGTAGTTCAATTTAGAGGAGAAGACCAGGCTGGATAAAATGAAGCTGCAAGAAAATCAGTTTCATTTCCTGCTATATTCTAAGCAATTTTTTTTAAGATTGGCTCGGAAATACTGCACACAATTGCATATTGTATATCTGAATAGCCTGACTCTCTTATTATAAAACCAACCTTAATTTGTTTCAGGGGTATTTCACCTGCAATAAAACAGGGAGGTTTTATAAAATGAGGTGAACATGCTTGGCTGTTTATAGGATGGCTTAAAGTTCTTCTCCTGAGCTATATGTATGTTCATTAGAATAAAGTAAGAAAGGTTGGCTGATATGGTATCAAGATGTCAATTCCAAAAATTGATTTTTTGAATAAGTAAATCACCTCCCCCAATCTCAGAATTCCAAATACAGTTGCAAGAATAAACATTTGGCCCATTCCTTGTCTAATGGCTCTGCAGTCTTGCTCTATCCCATGGGTGTCAAACTCGGTTCCACCACAAATGCGCGAACAAGAAAAGCGTGCCTGACTAAACCGCGGTGACAAAACCGCGTGACGAATGAGTGACGAATTAGCCTGAAAGCGCGCCAACAAAAGCGCGCCGACAGAAGTGCGCTGTAACGTAACCCTAAACCTAACCCTAAACCTAACCCTAAACCTAACCCTAAACCTAACCCTAAACCTTACCTTAAATCGCGCTTCTGTCAGCGCGCTGTTGTCGGCGCGCTGGTGTCGGCGCACTTTTGACATCGCGGTTTTAGCGCCGTGGTTTTGTCGGCGCACTTATGACATCCGCGCTTTTGTCGGGTCACGGGCAAACTCACCACATCATGTTGCCATCACATGATGTTTCACAATGCTTTCCCCAATTGTGGAGTTGGTTTGGGCATGGCCTGCATTGTAGGCCACCAGTTTGATACCCCTCAACTTCATTTTATCCCAGATCAAATTTAGTCCCACTAGAGATTCTTCTGAACAAAGAAGGCATATCACCGTGAAGGTTTACAGGTAGTCCTTGACCTATGACCACAACAGGTCAAAATTTATGTTGCTAAGTGAAACATTTGCTAAGCGGGTTTTGCCCCATTTCATGACCTTTATTGCCACAGTTTTTAAGTGAATGATTGCAGTTCTTAAATTAGTAATATTGTTAAGTGATTCTAGTTTCCCCATTCAGTTTGTTCATCACAAAGAGTCACAAAAACTGATAACATAACCCCGGGACACTACAACCGTCATAAACATGAGTCAATTGCCAAGCACCTGAATTTTAATCACCTGACCATGGGGATTCTGCAAAAGGGTAATAAGTCAATTTTTAACGTAACATTGTAAATTTTAATTGTCATTAAATGTACCGTTTTTAGTCAAGGACTGCCTGTATTTCTTTTCAAAGAAACTGTTATTAGTTGGCTAAAGAGTTTTTGATACATGCCATACCTGGGTAATGAACTGTATTGCCTCTGGGCCTGCTGGAAACTCTCCTCCTGCCGTTGTTTCTGCATTTGAACTTCTACTGATACAGAATGTCTGCCACTCTGTGAATAGGTCTTTGAATTTGGCTGGGAAATAAAAAACAAATATTGTTAATAGTACGAAAATAAGAACAGGTGTGGTGGCCTATCGGTTAAGACCCTGGGCTTGAGGACTGGTAGATTGACAGATCAAGACCTAAGTACTGCATGATGGGGGGAGGAGCTCCTGTTAGTTCCCCCAGCTCCTGCCAGCTTAGCAGTACAAAAGCATGCAAATTCAAGTAGATAAATAGGTACCATTTGGTGGAAAAATAACAGTGTTCCGTGCATTTTGGCATATAGTTAAGCTGGCCACATGACCACGGAAGTGTCTTCAGGTAACTCTGGCTTCCTCAGCTAAGAAATGGAGATGAGCACTTCCCCTAGAGTTATACATGACTGGACCTTTACCTTTTACCTTTACTATACATAATAAGGCTCTCTTTGCATAGGCACATTTCTGTAATCCTCTATAAAAGATTCGAATTTACACTTATGACATTATCTCTTTTTTCAGGGACACATTGAAATGCAGACTTCTGCAAATGAAATATTAAATGCTAAAATAACTACTGCCATCTGCATTTCTTTCTGGTCTTCTTTGAAGTTTCTCTAGAGCAATAGAGAAGCTTCAGTCACCTGGGGAAACACATTTAGTTTTACTCTACTGAACCTCTTGGGCATGAAAACTTTCCTAATGACGTACATCCCTGGTCTTCTGCATCACTCCTCTTGCTATTGGATTCTGTGTATGCCTCTGGTTGGAGAAAAGGGGAAAAGCAAAAGAAAATGTAACAGATGAGGAAGAGGAAACAAATGCATTTCCTTGCAAAAAAAAAAAGGGTAGTTTATTTGTAGTTCTAAGATCACCCAGAAGGCCATGTTGGGAAAAGGTGATATAATTCGAAGTAGCCGATATTGAATTTCCTCCCCCTCCCAACCCATTCAACCACTTAAAAATGTCTTTTTTTTTTGTTTAACTGTATTTTGGTTTCTTTGTTAATTATAACACTTGGAGGAAAATAAGAAAAATTAAAAATTGAAAGTGTCTCTCACACCATTTCAAAGTCAGCGACCGATCTGAACCATAAAACCTTCAGTTCAAATTTATGAAGCAGACTCACTTATAGATTAACATAACCTTAGCTGTCTAAAAAAAAAAAAAAATCTGCGACCAGAAAGATTCAACACTGAAAATATGTTTAAAAGATATTTCCCTTCTTATTATTAAAATATGGATGCTTGAATAATTTTTTTGGACTCAGCAATGTTTTCAGATGACTATAAGAGCTTTATCGCTGTTAGTAAGATATATTTTATGTATATTATATATAAGAATAGAATCCCATTCACTCAGTTTCACACAAAATAAGTAGTTGGCACTTTTGACAGGGGGCAATTTTGTGATCTGACAATGTACCCTACCAGATTTGGGGTCGGTTCAGTATTGAGTCAAGACAATTGCGTATATATTCTACAAGGGAAGAAATATTGGATATAAGCATACAAACAACTACCAATAGTTATTTTAATGCCTTAGCTTCATGATTCAGGGAGTTTCAAATTCATATGCTTCCATTTTTAATCTTGATACTCTCTTACTTATTAGCATGATTACCATTTCTCTTAATATCTATTAAACAGCTTCTCTCTAAAAAAATGTTGTTAGTTTTTCATTTTTGAAAAAATATTCTGAATCATATCCATTCAGAATGTAGCACAATTTTTCCAAACTGATTACTGTTTCTTGTTGCTACATAACATGAACCTATGAACAATGTACAAAATTATATTTTCTTCTATACTGTACTCAAAATCTAGGCAATACCAATTCATACTTTCTGATATACGTTTTCATTCAAAATAAATCCTACAAGTTTACTTTCATGAAGTCATCAACTCTACTTCATTAGTCTATCTTCTATTATCTTTCTCTGAGTTTTGTAGACACACAACATATCTATTTTCCATTGTTATTTGCTAATTCATATTCTTTGCAACTTTTGCATCATTTATCACCAAATGGCTTCTAGATATTGATTTCCACTGCTCATCATACTTTTCACCAATTTTTTGATCATATTAAAAACTGTCGGAATAAATCACTAGCCTTTGCTATATCGACTGTAGATTATTTTAAAAATGTTGTGTCTTGCAATGTTACTTGGATAAATCTTTAAGGTCTTGGCTGGAACTAAGCAACTTCAAACGGGAAACTATATAATTACAAACCACTATGGTATAATATACAGACAGAGATGAAAAATTGGGAAAAATTACAATTATCCTTGTTGGGAATAGCAGCAGTGAAAATGAATGTCTTGCCTAAATTTCTATTTCTTTTTCAAATGATACCAATACTTTAAAAAGAGGCAAACTTGCTAAAATGGCAGAAGGGTATTAACAAATTTGTGTGGGCAAGGAAGAAGCTGAGAATAAAACTTAAAAGTATGCAAGATGTACGTGAGAGAGGAGGTTTAAAATTGCCAAATCTAAAACTATATTATGAAGCAGTAGTTTTATCACTAATCAGTGGTTGGATTAACTCAACAGATGATAGAATACAATATCGAAGGGCATAATTTGGTATATGGTTGGCATGCTCATATGTTATATGACAAGAAGGTGGATAAGAATTTTAAAAGTCACATTTTAAGGAATGCTCTATTGCGGGTCTGGAAAAAATATCAACATAAACTAAACAATAAGATACCTATGTGGGCAATTCCCAGACATGCAATAGAGAACATAAATATAGTACAAATACAGGATGTACCCACATACAGACAGCTTCTCACTTTAGAAAGAGGTGTATTACAACTAAAACCCTTGAATGTACTAAAAGAGAAAAAGGTAATTCAAACATGGTTTCAGTATGGGCAACTACAGGCCAGATGGTAAAAAGATCAAAAAATTGGTTTTACGCAAAATGACAATAA